TGAAAGGGCTAGTTTGCCTGTTAGTAAGATCTTGGCAGCAAAACACTAAGGATAAGACAACCAGTGTATATGAGAGTTGAGGGTGGGTTTAGTTGAGAATATCTTAAGCTAAACTACAGCTAGTGGAGAAATCTACATGTCAGTAGATGATTAGGTATTTGTGGCAAAACTAGGTGGGAGTCCCATTCCTTTTGTCCCAACACGCCAAAACACATTTCTAGAAAATATCAACTAATGTATGGGGGCTGATCTGCTCAGTGCTATGTTTCCAGGAAAATATAGACTCTCATCCTTTTAATCCCCCAGGATTTGACCTAGATGAGGATTTTTTTTTCAAGAGCTGTATTCAAACACCCCTCCCAAAAAAAGAAAAAAAAAAACCCAAAAGACAGAGGGTAATTGGAAAAGTCAGAAAGGAGCCCTAATTGATCCAGAAACTTTCTATCAGAAATGCTTGCCAAATGAGGAAAGAAAAAATGACTTTCTTTCTTTTAAAAATCTATGTATGTTTTTAGAAGGATAGATATAATTAACAGTATTCTAAGCAGTTTTCAAACAAATTGGAATTTACATCTTTAACTAAAAAGGAAAAAAAAATTCAGGAATATGCTTCCTTCCATGTCTCCCCCCCCCACACACACACTTCTCCTATTTATAAAAGAGATCTGATAAAAAGGAACACCAACCTGACATGGGCTTTCAGGGCAATCCTAGATATCTGAAAATGCCATTCGAGTTCTTTGACATACATCATCTATTTTTGTATTTATGTATCTCTATGCTCTAGGAAGAGATGGGATAGAGGAGATTTACTTCTGAAACCGTATCTGATTCTCACAGAAATAATCTTCAAATTAGCATTTTAAATCTTTTTGCTTGTTTGTTTTTACACTGGTTGAAATGGCAACTTTCCGTAAAAAGGAGGTTGAAAACAGCATTTCTATTTGCTGTTCATGAAAAGGTCAGTGTTTCACAAGCCTTTTAACTATTGATAGGTCTGTCTGAGCTTTATCGTTTATTTGGGCTAGATTCAAGCTCAATATCTCATCTGATGTGTTATTATTTTAAATATTCAAATTATTTCTGAAATGTAAATAACATCAAAATAGAATCAGCCTTTTATAAATGAAATTATCAAGTTATTATGTTGTGAAATTTAGAAAGTTCATGGCTTAAAAAAAGAGGGTGGAAATTATTGGAGGCATTTTTATGAGACACCTGTGTAAGTCCAGTGCATTACACAAAGTAACTCAGCAGTATAGAAAGGTGTGCCAAAAGCATACTTTTTTTGTTTTTGGTTGCCAAAGCCAAAGGTTATGCATGCTCAGCTTTGATTTTCATATAAAAACTGAGAATGAGAGTGTTAATTGTACTGTTTCTAAAAACTGGGAATCCATCTTCTGTAAGGATAATGGCTTTCCAGTATCTTAGACAAGGGTAGCCTGGGATGAGATCTTAACAATTTTCTTTTGGCTAATTCTCTCATTTTTAAATATGTTCTTGTCAAGCACATAGATAATTCTCACCCACATCATTATTTTAGCCATGTTCTTTAATTATATGAGTATCATGAGAATGGAAAATCTTTTAAGATGTCTTCCTTGGGAAGAAATTACAAATTTTAATGTTGAGTATAAGAAGGTAGAGAATTATTTTTCTCACAACTAGACACATGGGCCATATCAGCTTTATCTTAAATATTTATATAATTTAGTCTTTTTAGGTGACATAGTTTGAAAAGTGGTTATATATTTGGTATACATTTAAGAGAAACTGTTCCTTCCACTTGGAAAGAATGGTATCTTCACACTGGAGGATGGGTCACTGCAAACCTAGGATCATGTTTTTAGGAAAGATCTCCTTGGAGAATTTATCTATTGCTCTACCATGTGGCTTTAAGAAGTCTAATAACAAATGCTGTAAATTAAATGTGGGTTATTTCCATTTGCGAATGTAGGGGAAATGTCTTTGAAAAATCTCTGGGCCATATCCTTCCAGGCAAACAAACAATTTCCAGTACAGAGGGCTGTAGAATCATTCTGGTAAATTAATTCCCTTCTACACTACTGGATTTGGGTAGGTAGATCTCTTTGCAGTCAACAAATTAGGAGGGCTGGGCTCTGCATTAACTGTCAAAATTGACTCAGTAACGTTGATGTTAGCGAATTTCTCTCTTGGCGTCTTTGGTTACTAATGTGAATTTCCCTACTATTTGCATATCATGAATGTAATAACTACAGAGAAGCATTTGATCCACTCATATTTCTTGGAGGCATGGAAGCTATATATGATGGGTTTCTACGGTTACACACTTCACGTTTGGAGATGTACGTGGGGGTCTTTATCCTCGACCCATACCTGCGTACATTTATAGAATAAAAGGCTAGGTAGGTGGGCACTAAAACATGAAGCATGTGATCCAGAGAGGAACAAAATGCACAGTGCTGGGCTTCCCTGGTGGCGCAGTGGTTGAGAGTCTGCCTGCCGATGCAGGGAACGCGGGTTCGTGCCCCGGTCCGGGAAGATCCCGCATACGGCGGAGCAGCTGGGCCCGTGAGCCATGGCCGCTGGGCCTGCACGTCCGGAGCCTGTGCTCCGCAACGGGAGAGGCCACAACAGTGAGAGGCCCGCGTACCGCAAAAAGAAAAAAAAAAAAATAGTGCTGCTGCAGTGTGTAGCTGTAGGGTCTAATCCTGTCCTAAACATTTATAGAGATACCACTGTCTCATGCCTGTTTTCCAGGTGGGACATCATTATATTTGACTTTCCAATAACAAATTCACTTTCAATAAAACATGACCAGAGTATTTTTAGTATGAGCCTTTTCCACACTGTTGAGAGGTAACAGTAAACACTACTAAGGGTAATGAATATGATGGGAACAGCCATGGAAGAACTACAAAGGTTGGAAATCGGGGAAAAAAAAGGTTATGGTTGCATATTCCCAAGGGGACACCTCTCTGGATCTTTGAGAAAAGGTTAGACTGCATGATTCTAAAGCATGTGAGCAGGTTAAGCATCTGTAAAATACTTCATTGATTACCAGGCAATTCTGGGCAAGCAATTCTTCCTGTCAAGACATGGGTCATAATTCTAACTACAAAGTTAAGTTGCTTTTTCGAAGTTAGAATGTTCTGTTCTACAAATCAATCAATCAATGAACATAATTTATACAATGACCACTGATTTAAAAGTCCCACAGGAGAGCCAATCAGAGGACCTTTGACAAAATGGAAATTGGGAGAGCCTCTGAATGCATCTGTTTGGATATCTTGGCAGGGAAAAAGTCACAGCTAGATACTCACCCATTTCTCATTGGCTGGAATGCTGAAGCACTCTCTCCCTTGGGAGTCCCACCACTTAGTGGTTGCTCCTCCTATAGGTAAGACATTCTCTGCTTTGGGAGATGATTAACCATGGCTGGGTTAAGCTCTAAAAATTCAATGTCTCTTACAATTGTTTCCCCTTCCTATGCTATCTTTGCAGGTGAAATATCATCAGGACCGACCAACACTTGACGTATGTTGGGTGGAAGACCATGAATGTGGCCAGAGGTGATAAGAACACAATGGTTGGAAAGAAGAGCAGAAATGCAATCCATTACCAAAATCTGTAAGTAGATCTGAATGAAAGTTCATGAAGCCACTCATCACAGCACCTTCCTTTCTTTGTAAGAGAAATATGATTTTTGTATGTCTCTTCTATGGAATGTCCTTGTTTATCAATTGAAACGCTCAATTTTACCAACAGCTGGAATGTCTTGGCCAAGTGCAATGATTACTACAACAAAAGCCAAGTGCCGTTTTTAGGTCACTGTAAGATCCAGTGTCGTACGTGGTTGATCATGAAATGGCCAAATATTCTTGAAGTTATGAAACTATACCATGACTTGCTCTGGATATAACTGCCCACAGTCAGACACAGACAGAAAACCATAATCAAAGAGAAACTACACATCTTGAGCCAGGAAACACTGAAAGAAGTCTTAAAGGAGTTGATTTACATTCTTGAGATAGTGAAGTTTTGTCACCATTAGAGAATGTAAGGGCTTCATCATCTACCAGAGGAAATGTGTTATTTTTCTGATTGCTCCCACAATGTTCTCAGATGGAAGCAGCCAAACTGGTGAATCTCACTTGGACAGATTAGGAGCAGGGGCCCTGGGCTGTGGAATCAACAATGAATCTAGCCCCTCGTGAACAAGAGCATGCGTACAATGATCTTTTATGAATCGTGAGACCACTGCGGGGGAAGGTATTGCATCAGGAAGTCTCATTGTGGATGAGAGCCACCTATCAGAATAGCTGCAGAGTTGAAGACAGCATGCTTTATAAGAAAAAATTATAAGAAGAAAAATCTCAGTGTGTTCATGCTGTGAGCCACAAGAGCAAAGCTCCATAAAACCTTCACTGGTGGAAGGCTGGAATCGGAATCTTTGAAAGAATAAAATTAGCTTATAAGAGGTTAGAATCATTGGGCCACGGCACTTTGCCGAAGAGTTGCTCAACAGGCAAGGCTACTCTGGTCACTGAATTATTCCTTTTGCTGTTAAAGAAGTAGATGTTGGCTGCTCATTCTGTGTTAAACCAAAGATTGGGTCCCAGGAGACACATTAATTGTTGATCCAAGAAAATTACCTTCCCATAGGAAAGTGTTCTGTGTATGACCATATATGGATATAATATGGGAATTCTAAAGAATACTATGAGGAATTCTAAAGAAAAATTTAAAGACAATGAGATGCATAAAGTATCATTTATCTCAATATTCTGACCCTGTGCTCCTTTGGGACATTAAAAGGAAACAATGCATGACCAAAGGGTTGACATTTGCCAAGTCGAATACTGGGCATCTATTTTCTTTCTTTTGGATGAGGATACCAATTGCACAGTAATACCTTTTTGGTCTTTATTTCTTCAAAACATGAAAACAAAAGATGAAGTAGATGACAATGAGAAGAGAGAAAACATTCCATACAGAATATGCTGTATCACTAGTGATTAAATCAGAAACAATTAGAAACTTTATTTGTCTGTGTCAATAGTGTGTACCATTTATAAGGAACAGCACAATTAGTGCACTTCCCCCCCAAGCTGTGCATAATACACACAAAATAATCAAACAAAATAATTTTACACGACTATAATTCCTAATACAACCCTGAACAACCAGAATCATATTTTCTCTAAAACATGAAAATTTAAAAAGCAAACAAACCAAAAAGCTTTGAAGTTGACCAACGGCAAGGATTTCTTAAAGTCCTTTGTGAAAATTTGCTATGGGATTATTAACATTCCAAATATGGCTAGAAAGGAGGGCAAAGTCTTTCTAATGTTTCAACAACTCATATCCCTTGACAATTTACTTGGTGCTCCTAGGCTAGCTTTCTATTTAATAAATCTTCAAAAAAAAAAAAAAAAAAGGGTTAGAGTTTGCCCTCAAAGGAGTTAGGCCACCAGTGTGTTGGGCCATGACAGGTAGGGGTGAGGCTCCAAGAGACAGGAGAAATTGTAGAGCTGTGGGGGGCATAGAAAAGTACTGCTGTCCAAGAAAGATAAAAATTGGGGTTAATTGGGCCTTCTCAGTGATCTGGATCACCAGCACAATTGCCTTACTTGGTTTAAAATGGGAAGATGTGCAGATCTGCAAGATTGGCTAAGGATACACAGAATGCTTTTCATACCCTATACCTTATACTGTCTCAGTTAAAGAAAATCTTAGATATTTAGACAAGAGGGTTTCAGAATTGTGTTTTTCTCGTAAGATCAAACTGTTTCCATGTGGCTGTGTTAACCCCCTCTGGGCAGGGATCTGGGCTGTCTTGTCCATGGTTTAGTCCCCAAGAGGGAGCACAGTACCTGGCATATTGAGTGGGTAACCAGCATTTAATTATGCATTCGGTCACCCAATGTTTATTAAATGATGAATGAGCGTGATTATTAAGTGGAAGAAAATACAAATTAAAATTGTTGAGAGTTAAGTATCTTTGAATCAATACAGAGGGCTTAGGGGTGTCTCCGGCCTGGGATTCTTTATGGATAGAGAAGTGTCTGAGAGGGGACCTAAGTCATTCCATTTATACCTCATTCGTGGACTCATGGCTTTGGAATGTTGGGTTTATCCACACTCTCTGATACTGTGAAACAGAAAGAGCCATTCCTTTTCCAGGGTTAAAAATCTCCCAGGGCAATGCTCCTGGGAGGCACTAATCATCCCATTTAATTGCTTCCTCCTTAGTCCTAAGTAGAGGAGATACACTTTTAAAGGCCTGTTGCTCACCACGGCTTCTTTCCTCCTCAGGAACTGCAGGTACAATCAGAGGGGTCTGGACGGTGAAAGAAACAGGACTCCAAATTGCCTTTTACGTACAAAAATAAAATGAACAAACCAGCACTATCTACCATCTGTGCCAGACAGAGCAGATGTGAAATAAATACTTTGGGGGCAGGGGTGTTGTGGGAATGGAGGCTTTCAAAGCTCAGGCACATCTAACGCATCCCCTTCTCTACATGCCCTTCTCCTTGGCCTTCCTGAACCAACAGGTGAGTTTTTGAGGCTCTGATGTGTACCAAGTGGCTAATTTTCCATGGAGATACTTTGTAGTTTGCCTACTGTCCTCTCAATAGCTTTAACTTCCCATGTAACAGTTACTGCTTCTTAGAAATGAACACGAAGATCCACGAATAAGCCATTTTCTCCTTTTGTCCCTAATCAAACTCAAAAACAACACAAAAGTTACAACTCAGGTGAAAAGAAAACTCACTTATGTCTTCAATGACCAATCAATCAACGTTGCCCAGTGGGAGAACGGTATGTGCTATACTCTACTATGTACAGATATGCTTGGTTTTGTTGTATTGGTTTTTCATCCATGCACTGTGTAACAGGTATCACGACAACATTCCCAAACAGGCCCATGAAGGAGGAGCAGATGTTCGGTCATGACTGGAACAGGCGTGTGCCGGCCATGGATGCTTTTGAAAACAAAACTGACGGACGATCCCAGGCAAGAGCAACATGGGACTGGGACACACACTGACGCAAGTGGAAAAGGATGATGTGCTTTTGGAATGGAGTTATTCTTCCTGTTTGTATGAGGGGAGGGGGGCAGGAGGGTTGGGATGGGGGGCCTGGGGGGTTAGCAGGGCTGGAACACCAGAATATAAGGGCCTTCCTAATCACAGTCCAGTGCTAAAGGGATAAGAAAGGAGTTTGCATGTTCCTGGGAATCTAGGCGCGATGTTCCTGTACCTGGTGAACAGGAGTGCCAGGCCTCCTATCTTTCACTATCAGACTCTATCTAGGACCATGACTCTTCTGGGCTCCATTCCAGCTGCCATGTTTCTTCTTGGAGGCAGCTTCACCTCTGCTCCCATCCCAGAGATGAGCATGCAATTTAGTTATATGGTGAAGACATGCTTCTTTCTTTTTCCATGCCCATTTCCTCTCTTAATCCAAAACAATTTTTTAAATGTTTGGGGGAAGGGAGAGTAATCTTAATGATTTCCATTTTTACCCGAAACCCATTTGCATTTAGATTGGTCATCACCTCCCACGAGAGAAGCAAAAACCCTGATCCTCCCCCAAACAAAAACAAAAACAAAAAACAAAAGCCTAACATCAACCACCTCCCCACCCCCACCCCCAAAACAAGCATAAACAAACAGAAAACAAATCAAAGGCTTAACGATTTATGAACCCGGGGAGAACACAGCCCTCAGAGGCTGAGCTGCAAAGATAGGCCTGCCTCCACGCCTGGTTCAACGTGACGATGCCCCTGGGAACAGGAGGTGATGCCTTCTCACTCGGGCCCTAGTACAGAGTCTGCTCGTGAAGCTGGATTCCATCAGCAGGTAAGTGGACATGACGAATGTCAGTTTCTTCTGTTCGTTGTACGTAATTTTTTATGTATATATATGTATATATATATAAATGTACTACATCTGACTGTTCCTTTAGAAGCCTTTTATGTGGCAGTAGGCCTCCAGGGAGGAGAAGAAAATGTACAAGAGCCACAGAAGCACAAAGAGGCAGGATGTGAGGAGCTTGGCAGTCCGGGGCCCACCCAGCTCACCTCCGATTTCTGGCCTCCGCCGATACAGCAGCACCCCGACATTGATGAAAGCAAAAATGGTGAAGAGAGTGACGGAGAAAGCCAGCGTGCCAGGGGACACCTTGAACTGTTCCCCGTTGGCTGCATGGTAGATGGCAGCGATGGACCAGGCCACGCCAATTCCCAGGAAGACATTCACTGCGTTGCTGCCTGTGACGTTGCCTATGGATGCATCTGCGTACTGGTCCTGGGTGGCGGCCACTTTGCTTGCAAATGTGTCTGTGGGGGAAGAGGAAAAAGGCAATGACACTTAGCCACTTAAAGAGGTCTGTGGAGTGCCGGCAGCTTCAGCTGCGTACTCTGGAATCAAACCGTCGATGGACACCCCATGACCAGGACAGAGCTTTGGTGTTCCCTCAAGTCCCAGGTATCAGAACTTGCTGACTTATAGGTGACCTTGGTCAAGTTCTTTACCCACAGATACCACGGTTCTTTTTTTTTTTTTTTTTTTTTTTTTTTTTCAGGGCACCCTTTCCTCCCTCTCTCCAGTTTATTGCGTTTGTGTTTTGTTCTGTTTTAGTTGGGCATTTTGCCCTCTGATCTTGAGTGGGTGGGCTGGCAGGACACCTGGAGAGGATGCGTTCTGTCCCCTGATCTTGAGTGGCCTCTGGAAAATGACAGACCAGACGGAAATTTACACAGGCGTCCGGTGATTCCAGAAATGCAGGCTGTCTGGCTGGATGGGCGCCCGGCCTCCCGTCCCGCGTGGCGGCGTGTTGGGAGCTTCTCTGACCGGGGCACGAACCCGTGTCCCCTGCATCGGCAGGCAGGCTCTCAACCACTGTGCCACCAGGGAAGCCCACCACGGTTCTTTGTAACACTGAGTTTGCAGGGAGGCATGTTTCAGAGCGTTATCACGGCCTATCTACATCAGAATCAGATTTACCAGGCTCCGTCCAGCCACGCTAGATCATAAGTGCCGGGACTCGGGAACATGTTTTTACAACATGCCAAAAGATTCTAGGTCAATGAAGTTTGAGAATGGCTGCTGAAGGGTATTACTGAAGGCTGCTGTATCATCCAGCTCTAGTTTATAGATGAGAAGGTTCAGGGCTCAGGAAATATTTCCAAAGATTCCAGAGCAAGTCAGTGGTGGAAGTGAAACTAACTGACCCATGATAACAACTGACATCTGCCTAGAGCCTTACAAATAGGAAAGCAGATTCACCTATGTTATTGTATTGAGGGTGACAACAGTTCTATGAGGAGAGGAAACTTTATAGGTAAGGACACTGGGCTCAGAGAGGTGCAACATCACACAGCAAGGAAGAAGCCACGTTAAGCCTTGAGCTCAGGCCTCCTGCCTTCATGCAAATGCTGTTCATCGTTCCATCTCACCCTTCCCTGGCCTGGCATGTTAATGGCCATCCTCAAAGCTCTTTGTTCGCCAGTAATCCTGTCTGCATCTTTTCTCTGAAGCTGGGAAAATCATACATTTCCTTTCTCTACAGGGAGTAGGACAAGATTGACTTACACTTGGTGAATAGAGCACAGGGGCTTAGTGCAAACCTGAGTCAGAGGGTGTCGAATTCTGCCTGCACAACTGAATGTGTGACCCCAGGCAGATTACTTAATTTTTCTGAGACTCAATTTCCTAATCTGTGACATGAGGATGGTCATGCCCACTTCAGAGTGCTTTTGTCAAATTGAGCTCTTATATGTAAAATGCTAACGTTTCTTTGTACAAAGCAAGAGTAGCTCCTTTTGGTGCTTTGGGAAGACAATGTGAATGGAGCTGCCTAGATCCATCTATTACAAGTTGACGCTGGATCTGAAATAGCTCCCTTTATTAAGAATGTGAACAGGACTTGTAAGATATTCAACTTCCTTTCTATACGCTCCCCTAGTTACTGGTATCAAAGTCCTTTCAGTTACCTCTGCAAAATACGTTGCACAGTCGGTTTAGAGTAGATATTAGTAGCTGTCAAATTGCACTCACGTTTGCAAAGCCAGCAATGGCAGGTATGCTGTTACTACAAGGCATTATGCTCTGAGCATGCGTGTAGTTGTGTGCTATCTGGATTACTCTCTCCCCCCCTCTGTTGCTATTCGTTGCCACTTCCAATGAGGATGATACACAAAGCACGTACGTTTCTATCAGCCTGTAGATTCTTATGCTTTTACCATGGGTGCTGAGAAGCTACTGGATCTGTGGTGTCACATTCTTTCCGAAAGGGAATTGGTTAACCTTGAGGGCCCATCTCACTGATTCTGACCTGTCTGTGACGGAAAGCAGATTTTAGTTACTGTTTTATAAAGAGGCGGACTGCTTACTCTGTGCTACACATGTTACACGGATATTTTCATTCAACACCTCTTATCAACCTTATAGAGTAGATGTTATTATTCCGCTTTTACAATGTGGGAAACAGCGATGTCGTGACAGTATGCCTCTTGGACTGGGTGTCCGTCAACAAAGCAAGGATTCTGAAACCAAATCTGTTTGATTTCAGAGCCCATTCTCACCCTAGACCTCACTGCCCCTCCTAGGAAGGCTAAAGGTTTCCTTCCCTCTGTCCATTTCAGGTTGCCCTGTTCCTTCCACTCAGAAACCTTGAAACAGCTCCTTCCTGTATCAGTGAGAGCAAAGACTGAAGGAGGTATAGGCAGCTTGCTAACCTGTCCGGCTGGATGGGTGCTGCCTTTTTGCATTCGTGACCACACACTGCAGCCCTATCAGGACCATCACAACAGAGGCCGGTGAGTAAAAGCCCAGTGAGACAATCGTCACGGTCTCTTGCTGTTCATTATTAAGAGCTGTTAGGACCTGACACAGCAGCAGCCTCAATAACAATGAAGTCATTTTGCTTCGACTTTTCGAGGACAGACAGACAGCTCAGCAAGGAAAGTAAAGGAACAGAGTCTAAAGCAGGAGAAAGCCACTTACAGCTCAGCTGCTGCTGAGGATCACCTGAGATGTTATTCTGCGCTGGCGGGCTGCTGGCGGAGGCTAGTGACTGGGGGGTGCCTTCCCCCCTCCATGCTGCAGGGGCGGGGACCTGGCGTGTTCCACAGCATACGCATGCATACCTCCCCCGGCACGCAGTATGTGGCACACTAGACTTCCTGGGTGCCCCATCTCCACTCGGAAACCCCGGACTTTCTGGATGGCATCTCTGCTGCCGCCCCAGAAGGGAGTGAGGCACAAATTCAAAGATTTACTGGGCCCTCCTGGATCTGCAGGGACTTCTCCCTTAAGCCATTTTTCAGTAGCCTATTAATGTGAATAGTGCACGAGAATTCTCGTAATAATAGGTTCCTGTTTACAAATGCCTTTCTTTGGATTCTCTGAAAATTACTTGCCAAAGTGATTAGCTCCTCACATAAATGAAACATGTTTGGGCCTCTGAATCCGGGAGGTTTTTTGTTTTTTACCTGGGTTACACATCAGACCTTTGCTTTCCAATTCAAAAGCTGTGTAAAAAAAATTGTAGAAACACAAGTAAATCCAAACCATCAGCCTTAACTGCAACAGAGATAACTCTGACTTCCAAATGAAGTGTGATGGAATCTCCCCAAACTACCTTCTCTCACCGCTGCTTAGTGCACAGAGCAGCAGACCACAGACTGCAGGCGAGGCCCTGCCAAGCCTGACCCTGAATGCCAAGCCCGCAACCTGCTTATGGCTGAACGAGGCAAAAGCCACTCAAATGCCATTCCCCAGAGTGAAGTCCAAACAAGGACTATTGACATGGTGTAAGCATATTCAGAACTTGGCCCGTTAAATACAAACATATATGAATCAGATTGCCACTGAGTTTGTACCAATCAAAGTTATGTTGATAATCATTTACATATGCGTGTATACCTATACCTACATACATACTTCAAGTTAGTATATTCTAATAGTAATTTTTGCTTCTAACTCCCACCTTGAATTCTAATGAATTTTAGTTTTATATTTTTCCTTTCTTATAAACATCTTTATTCTCAAACGTCAGTTCTATTCATTGCTCAGCCATATTATAATTTGTTTGCAATGTCTTTTATTATCTAATAGGATTCACAATAGGAATAATCTTGGCAAATATCGATGGGGTGGACACATGGATTAGTCACTATTCTGAGCCCTTTGATCAGCCCCTGTAAACTTCTTGACGGAAATGCAAGTGCTAAAATTACACTCTTTTTTTTTTTTTTTTTTTTTGGCCACACTGTAAGGCATGCAGGACCTTAGTTCCCTGGCTAGGGATCAAACCCGCGCCCCCTGAATTCTAATAAATTTTAAATTAGTCGTAGAGTTTTAGACTTTTAGTCCTGCCCCCTTGGTACCCACTAACAGGGAAGATTTGTTTGGGAGGCAGTGTGGCTGGAATTAAGCCATATGTTACAGAGTCAGGACATAATTGTTCTCTGCATCTAACCTTGGCGGCTAAGTCATCTAGTCAATATGCAGGAATATTGATTAGATATCAACACACTCCCCTTTCCTCCAGAAATGATTTTTTAACTGAACTTAAATTTTATCGCTACATACAAAGCCTCAAACATCTCTTCTGTAAAAAGGATAGTTCTTACAGCCCTGCAGGTCACAGGAAGGGTTTACGTATTACCTAGAGTACCATCCCACGTGGTTTATCTTCGTCTTGACTCTTTGCATGTGCTGGGGGCCAGCTGTGCAACTCTCAAGTGCTTCGCGCTCAGGAGCAGATTTTGACTGGAGCCCAGCCTGCTACGGAGGCATGGTTGCCGCCTCCCATCACCTGTGAATTACTGATGACGCAGGGGACAGACCAGGTGGTTCAGAGCTTCCTGCTGCGTTAGTGGGAGAAGTCTCATCAAGGGGACCCTCTGGGCTCTTCTGTCTGTGTGTTCTTGGGCAAGACACTCACTCTCTGGGGGGGGGGGGTTCTGGTTTCCTAAGTCTACTGTTTGGGTGGTACACAGAATACATCAAGAGACTAAATTCATATATATGATTTTGGTGGGATTTTTTCTTTTCTGCAGGCGTTTGTACATGACCACCCACCTTCCTTCAAATTGACTGATGATGACGATATCTCATTTTAAAGAATAAATGACCTAGATAAAATAGTCAAAGTGATCTCTAGACCTGAAGATCTTGCCAGTGATGAAACTGTGGCAATGTTTATGGAATTGAACCACACAGCACAGGGTCATTTGACCTCTTAAAAATAGGTAAGAAATGTTGGCAAGGTTACTTACTTCAAATCACATGACCATTTATATGAGTGTAGCCATGCAATAACTGGTGGCAG